CTTCGATGGTCTAGTCAAGGGAAGGGATCTAAGATGAGAGTTCAGAGAAGCCACACTGGATGGGCAGATGGACTGCCCAGGCTGTCTCCGGTTGTTAAGGATCAGAGTCTGCTGGGGTGGGAGGCGAGGTGAGCTAAAGAGAGTTGAAAGCACGAAGGGCAGGTGGGAGAACCCACCTGGGGAAACAGTGAGCTCTGGTAAATATTGCGAAGCCAGATTTTTACCATGAGCCCAGACTTTGTGCATGGTTTTGGGGGGGGTTTGTGACCTCATGAGCAGCCTGGAGACAGGCTAGGAGGCCACATGGATCCAAGTGAGAGGCAGGCTGGCTGGGGGAGATGCCTTCCCCCTGAGTCTGAGGCCATCTGCACATCCTGCATCCACTGGAGTGCAGGTCAGTGCGGCCACACCTAGGCAGAAGCACCCCAGATCTACAAGGGTGACTCTGGAAAACTGATGAAGAATTAGGGATGGGTGCCTGAGGGCTCCCTCGTGAAAGGAGAAAATAGGCAACATGATGGATGAGAGAGAACTTTATCATGACTCATAAGCTCCTGGGTCATTTGAAAACCTTTCTTAGGCCTCATCTGCTTTAAATGATAGGGCTTCCCTGGTGGCTCAGATGGTAAAGTGTCTGCCTGCAATGCAAGCAGACCCAGGTTTGATCCCTCGGTCAGAAAGATCCCCTCAACGATGATGGTGTTTCACATCTCAGCAATCCACATGTTGAACTTTTTAGGTATTGTAATATTTGCCCATCAAATTCCACACGAAAGGTCAGAGCCTCGAGATGAATGATGCCTGGCCTCCTGCAGCTCACAACGTGGGGATCCCGGGTGTGACTGGCTAAAGCCCTGGTTCTTTTCCTCGGGAACCCTCAGCTGACTGCACACCATGTATTCAGGCTTCCAGTCTCAGCAGTGGGTTGGTTCCTTTTTTGAGAGTCCTTCGTGGCGCTGTGTTTGTTTAACTGTCACCTGCAGGCAGCCTGGGCCCTGGGTGGGTGCGCATGCACACATACAAGACAGGTGTGTATTTGTGAGTGTGTGAGGTTTAGCTGAGCAAGCTCTGGATGCAACCTAAGTGAGCCAGGGTCCATTTGCTCCCAGCTCATCCAAACAGCCAGCAACGCTGTTTGAGCTCTTTGTGATGCATGTGGCTGAGGCGGGGCTGGGTTCTGTCATATGATGATGGTGCGTGGTTCCCCTTCGTTAAGCCCTGGAAAGATCTGTCTCTCTGCAGCTTGTGTACAGGTCTCACTTTATGAGATATTAGTTAATGATCACAGAGTCGTTGGCTGTGACACTGGTGCTCCTCTTCGTGACTAAACCTGGTGTCTGGGTGCATGAGCAGGTGACTGTGTGTGTACACAAGGGTGAAGTGTGGGAGTCCTCGAGAGAAACCCCAAAACACACAAGCAGTAGAATGCTCCACTGACACGCCTGGGCTTGCACTATCTTATTACTCGTACAGTGGACTCAGAATCATTATTGTCGTTTCCTTGGGTGGGCACTGGGTCTGGTCTTGTGGGACGTCCTGTCCAGACACATAGAAGTGCATGCACGTGGGGTCAGTCTGAAGCACCTGCACTCTTGCTCTAATTTCTCTGATTGCTGTGTTGTGTATGTGCTCAGTGGCTTCAGTTGTGTTCAACTCTGTGCAATGCTACATACCTTAGCCTGTCAGTATCCTCTGTCCATGCAATTCTTCAGGCAAGAATACTGCAGTGGGTTGCCATTTCCTTCTCCAGGGGATCTTCCCGACCCAGGGATTGAACCTGTGTCTGTTAAGTCTCCTGTATTGGCAGGCAGGTTCTTTACCACTAGCACCACCTGGGAAGCCCATGATCTCCTTTATACCAGTGCTGTTGATTGCCTGCCCTGGGATGCTGAGAAAATAGTGAATTTTGATAACTGCACATCTGATTCTCCAGGAGCCCTAAACCCTTCCCTTGCTGGAGACAAACAATGGGAAGAGTGTCATAGCTAAACTGTAACTACCAAGCTCCCGAGCTGACCAATGTGATTTTTTTGAATTTTTTTTAATGGAAGTATTAAGGATATAGTCTAACAAAGGTCCATATAGTCAAAGCTATGGTTTTCTCAGTCATAGTGTACAGACATGAGAATTGGACCATAAAGAAGGGTGGGCATTCAAGAACTGATACTTTCGAACTGTGGTGTTGGAGAAGACTCTTGAGAGTCCCTTGGACAGCAAAGGAAATCAAACCAGTCAGTCCTAAAGGAAATCAACCCTGAATATTCATTGGACGGACTGATGCTAAAGCTGAAGCTCTAGTACTTTGGCCACCTGATGTGAAGAACTAACTCATTGGAAAAGATGCCGATGCTAGGAAAGATTGAGGGTAAGTGGGGAAGGGGGGTGATAGAGAAAGAGATGGTTAGATAACATCACCGATTCAATGGACCTGAGTTTGAGCAAACTCTGTGAGACAGAGAAGGGCAGAAAAGCCTGACGTGCTGCAGCCCATGGGGTCAAAAAGAGTCAGACACAACTTAGAGACTGAGCAACACGTGTATAGTTGTTTAACAATGTTGTATTAATTTCAGATGTAGAACACAGTGATTCAGTTATACATATATATATATATATGTATACACACACACACATATCTATTCTTTTTCAACTTCTTTTCTCTTATAGATTATTACAGAATATTATCATACTAACTGAAGTAAGTCAGACAGAGAAAGACAAATACCATATGATATCAGTTGTGTGTGGATGGGGTTCCCAGGTGGTGCTAGTGGCAAAGAACCCGCCTGCCAATGCAGGAGACTTAAGAGGCACGGGTTCAATCCTTGGATTGGGAGGATCCCCTGGAGGAGGGCATGGCAACTCACTCTAGTATTCTTGCCTACAGAATCCCATGGACAGAGGAGCCTGGTGGGCTACAGTCCATAGGGTCACAGTTGGACACGATTGAAGAGACTTAGCATGCACATCAGGTTACATGTGGAATCTACAAGTGAACTTATTTACAAAACAGACCCATGTACATAGAAAATTAGCTTATGGTTACCAAAAGGGAAAGGTTGGGGGGAGGGATACATTAAGGAGTTGGGATTAACGCATACACACTACTGTATACAGGTTAATTACCAGCAAGGACCTACTGTATAGCACAGGGACTCTACTCACCTAAGTAGGTTTTTATATCATGACTCTGGCCCATGGGTTCATATTAGGGAATTTGGGCACTTATGCTGCATATATGACATAGCATTATTTTTGAGGGTTTTTGTTGTTGTTTAGTCACTCAGTCATGTCTAGGTATTTTTGATGGTGATTATCTTTAAAAACTAGATAAAGAATAATGGCATTTATTGGGAAGCATTTATTGAGCTCTACTCTCTGCTCTCCCCCGAAGTCATTGGGTGAGATTGGGCAACTGTGTGGAACCTCATGGCCTTGGTTTTCTCACCTGTGAAACGGAAGGGTGGAGTTCCACACCAGACCTAGTTTGAGCTTTTGAGCTCTATACCAGGTATGACGTGAAACCATAGAAAAAATCCATCTAAGTCTCAGGGAAAGACAACTGAAGCATCAACAATTCAATGACTTATTCTGAAGTCTTGCAAAGACGTTCTAGGGCTCTAGAAAGTTCTAGAACTTTCTTTTCAAAACAAACTCGTGCTTACCAAATAGGAAAGGGGGTAAGGATGAATTAAGAGTTTGGGATTAACCCATACACACTACTATATGTGAAAATAACCAACAAGGACTTACTGTATAGCACAGAGAACCATACTCAATATCTTGTAAAAATCTGTAAGGGAAAATAACCTGAAAAAGAATATATATATAAGCATATATAAAAAGCAGCTATGAGCTCCCAATGAGGAGAATCTTTGAGCTATATAAACCTGAGCACAACCTCAGCATTCCTTAATCTTCTATCTCCAAATATCACTTGGTGATTCAATGTATTGTAGAAATCCATCAGCTCAGAGTGTGTGCGTGGTAAACGTGACTACTGTCTCCCAACCGTTCCTAGACCCCGGCGACGGGAAACTGTGAGGACTTGGACGTTCCTAACAGCATCTGCACACGATGCTGTCCTCTGGGTCCAAGGAGTTGGCTTCCTGACACCTTCGGGTGATGGATATTTGCATCCGTTAGTGGCTAAGAACAGTGCTAGGTGTGTTGGCTTTAAGAAAAAAAAGAAGAGCAGTTGGGTTTTTTTTTTGTCTTTAGCTTTTTTGGCTGGCTGCTTCCTGCTTCATAAATCTGGGGAGGGAGGCGGGGGAGCCTGTTGCGGGGGGGGGTGAGCCCAGCACCTCTCCGGCCAGCTGCCGGGTCCATCTGCAGCTGGGGCTGGCGCCGTGATCTATGGCCAGAGAGCTGCATCAGGGGGTCTTTACTGCAACTTCATGGCAGCTGGTGTGAATGGCAGTGGAAAAATAAGCCCTTCTTTTCCCTAACATCAGGAAAAATGCTCCCCCCACCCTACACACACCCCTCAGGTCTTCCATGCTGGTTGCAGTTCTCAGACTTGTGGCACCAGCCCCAAGATTTGAGATTTTTATTTGCAAAGATATGTCTTTTCACTTGGGAGCCTTTGAACCCCCATAATATATCAAAGTTGCTTGGTATTCAAGTTTCCAGCTTCCAAGGGACTTAGAAGTCCCAAGAGAAAGGGCTGGGGTTTGAATAAAGAGGCAAAACACCTTCATTTCCACTTACATTAGATTTTAGTTTCAAAAACATTCTTTAAAATGACAGATTAGAAGCAGCACTTGCCAGTTTTTGGAAACTTCTGTGTTCCTCTGGCCCCGTGTGGTGACTCTGGAGGCTGGAAACGGACCTCAGCCCTTCACCTCAGCAGGGTTTCTGAAAGGAGCTGAGCTAATGGCCCAAACACACTTGAATTTTCATTCAGCAAGTATTCTTAATAAAGGTTCATAAATGCCAAGCAGCCTTTAGTCTTTGGTTAAGACCAATCCCAACCTCTGAGGGACTCAGAGCCAGACAGTGCCATGGTGTTTAGGTTACCTGCAGAGGGCGCAGGCCTCAGGGCAGGGAGCTCGCAGATCTGCCTTGGGGATGGGTGTCAGGACGAGATAGGATGGAGGCATTTCACAGAGTGGGAATTCAGGGGCATGACTGAAGCTGCCTGTTCTATAGAGCTCAGATTAAATGCTTCTCTTGCCATGGAGCCTTTTCTGAGGTTTCAGCCAAAAGGGATTTTTCCTTCCTTGCTTGGTTGCTCAGTCGTGTCCGACTCTGTGACCCCATGGTCTGTAGCCCACCAGGCTCCTCTGACCATGAGATTCTCCAGGCAAGAATACTGGAGTGGGTTGCCATTTCCTTCTCCAAGGGATCTTCCCAAATCAGCAATCAAACCCACATTTCCTGTGTCTTTTGAATTACAGATAGCTTCTTTACCCACTGAGCCATCAGGAAAGCCCCTTTCCTTCTTCTGAGCACCATAGTTCTATCTTCTAAGATACGGTCTCACTAGCTCTCAATGGATATCCAGTTTCTCCCTGTGGACATCTTGAGGGCATGGATGGGATGTGACTCACCAGGTACTCTCACTTCATCTACTCAGCAGGGCAGAGGAAGAGGGCCTGTGTCTTCTTTGCCTGAATAGACAACCTGGTGGGAATCAAGCTCAAGTCCGTGAGCCATTGGCCCCGCTTCAGTCTCAGAACCTGGCCAGCCCAGGACCTATCTGGACAGATGGAAGGGGGAGGCTGAGTTCATTGCCTTCAAAGCATCTTTGAGAATGCTGGCCGTCCTGTTGAAGTTAGTATCTGCACTCATCCCTTATCCTCATACCAAGAAGTGGGGAAGGTATGTGTAATGGGAGGAGAACAAGCTCATAGGAATCAAGAGAAAGAGGTCTGTCTTGCTGCATGGAACTCAGATCAAGGAGACCTGGATTGACAGGATACCTTACATCGTGCTAGAAGGTCATGGGTCATTGGCTTCCTTATTCTACTACCTTGGATATCAGACCTCATTTCTCCAAACTTTGGTTTCTTCATCTTTAATTGGCATTGGCCAGCTACATTTTGTCAGTGTAGAGAGAAATATATATATATATATATATATATATATATACACACATATATATATATATAAATACCTAGCAAAATTACTGGATTAGGCCTCTGTAGAGAGAAAACCCATGAATTTTTTTTCCTTTTTTTTAAAAAAAAACTCATAGTAAAAATTGTGTAAGGCTTACAAAAATCAAAGTAATAAAATCTTAGGAAAAACTTGGACCTGGGCCCCAGAACCAACTGCTTCAAATTCTCCTAGTTATTTCTTCTGGTTTCAAGTTTCAGAATTCTAAATCATATTTATTCTATTTTTTAAACTTAAAATCTTCTCTGTTGATTTCAATCATGAAGACGAGGGTTTAGGTGTCATAGTCTAGGTCTACCACATATACCTTTGATTTAAAATATTCTTTTTCTATTAAGATATCAATAATTCTTTTTGAAAGGAGGGTTAGCATCCCACCCAGTATCATCTAATGTGTAGAAAATATATGAATTCCATTGTGGGATTGTTGTTGAGACATCCTGTGAGAACTTTCATCTTCCTGCTCTAACACAGACAATTCTGCTTTCAGTCTGTGGCCCAGCTGTTGTCTTGGAACCTGCCTTCACCAATTTCCTGGGATCTCATTTTTGTTACACCTAATTTGGCTTACCTTCCTTCACTTCATGATTTCCTCTTTTTTGTTGTTTTTGTTTATTTTTTGAGTTTCCATCTTCATTTCAGTATATCTTCCAGGATCTTCCCAAGAAAATGTGCAAGAAGAGATTCATTCAGTGAGATACTACATGTCAAAATATAATTAATTGGGACAATATTTTGTTTTGGTTGGATGTAGAATTCTAGATCAGAAATTATTTTAATCTCAAAATGCTATATTCTGCAGATATTGCTGCATTGGTTTGTAGTAATTATTAGGGTTCTTATCTGAGTCCTTTTCCTTTGAGGATATTTGTTCCTTCTCTCTGAAAGCTTTGAATCTTTAGTCTTTAAGTTTGCAGTTGCATTCCTCCAGTCTCTGCCTCTGTAGTCATAACACCTTTTCTTCTGTGTGTGTCAGGCGTTCTGCCTCTCTGATGGATGCACAGGTGACAGCATTTAGGGCCACCTAGAAAATCCAGGATAATCTCCCCAAACTCATAGTCCTTAACTCAATCACATTTCAAACACCTAAAAGTAAAACAAACAAACAAAAAAAGCAAAACAAACCAAAACATGTTTCAAGTATTAGGATACAGATACTGTTTGGGGAGTTCAGTTCAGTTCAGTCGCTCAGTCGTGTCTGACTCTTTGTGACCCCATGGACTGCAGCACACCAGGCCTCCCTGTCCATCACCAACTCCCAGAGTTTATGCAAACTCATGCCCATTGAGTCGGTGATGCCATCCAACCATCTCATCCTCTGTCTCCCCCTTCTCCTCCTGCCTTCAATCTTTTCCAGTATCAGGGGCTTTTCCAATAAGTCAACTCTTCACATCAGGTGGCCAAAATATTGGAGTTTCAGCTTCAGCATCAGTTCTTCCAATGAATAACCAGGACTGATCTCCTTTAGGAAGGACTGGTTGGAACTCCTTGCAGTCCAAGGGACTCTCAAGAGTCTTCTCCAATACCACAGTTGAAAAGCATCGATTCTTCAGCACTCAGCTTTCTTTGTAGTCCAACTCTCACATCCATACAGGACTATTGGACAAACCATAGCTTTGACTAGATGTACCTTTGTTGGCAAAGCAATGTCTCTGCTTTTTAATATGCTGTCTAGAGGTTGGTCATAACTTTTCTTCCAAGGAGCAAGCGTCTTTTAATTTCATGACTGCAGTCACCATCTGCAGTGGTTTTGGAGCCCCCCAAAATAGAGTCTGTCACTGTTTCCACTGTTTCCCCATCTATGTTTGGGGAGGGGGGGTTGCTATTATCCATCCCACCATAGTCCACTCAACAGAAACTGAAATTCTTTGGTTCTGAGACATTTTCTTTTATTATTTCTTTAATATTTTTTCTCTTCAATTTACTCTATTTGAATTTTCTGGAACTCCTGTTATTGAGAAATTTGGCTTCTCAGACAAATCCTCTTAATTTCTTATCTTCTATTTCCCATTTCCCATAAGTTTTATTACGTTTTTCCGGGGAATTTTCTCAAATTTTGCTCTCAATCATTTGTGAACTTTATGAAGTATCATTTTATTTTCTAAGAGCTCTGTTCTCTGATCTTATTTAACAGCATTCTGTTCTTATTTCATTGTTGTAATATCTTATCTCTTTGAGAATATTAATTAAGCATATTTTCTGCTCATTGCAGAAGAAACTTTAAAAATTTTTATTTAATATTTTTTCCCTTGTTCTTAAGCTTTGACTTGCCTCCATTTCCCCAAATATCTAGTGCTTCTTGGTTTTCTGCTTAGTTTTAAGAGTCATGTACTAAACAGTTGATCTGAAATTCTGAGTGTATGGCTTAGTAATAAGCAAGCTTCACTTAGAGTAATCAGTGCTAGGATTGTGTCCTAGGAGCTGTGTTTTTTCCGTCAGACACATCCATTTTCAAGAGGTTGTTTTCCCCATCTCTTCCTGTGGTATGCTGGAAGTCAAGGAGAGAAGGGTCTTGGGAGGACTTGCTTTTCATTATGCAGACTTAATTCTCTTCTTCTGTCTTCTGTCTCCTATGTTACCTTCGTATCGTCTTTACTCCTAGGTCTGGAGACTCTGGTTAGATTTCACCATCAGATGAACACCCCGTATCCCACGTGGATGGAGGCCTGTAGATGCTTCAGAGCTTACGGAGGAGTGGATGGAGGTCTAGCTCTCTGTGTGGGTACCTAATCATTCTATTCTGAGCCTCTCTTCTTACTGCTGTTTCTGGAAGTAAGTGGAACTTCTGAGAGTTTATGTGGTCTGTATCCTATTGACTTGCACACAGTGATTTTTAAGCTTTTTGTGTGGATAAACCACAGACACACATGTGCAAGGTGCAGTTACTATGCTGGGCATCATCTGGGGAGTGGGAATGGCTTGGAGACTTAGATCATCACTGAAGGAACATGTGGGGAATTATTAACAGTTGAGTTGAGGGACTTCCCTGGTAGTCCAGTGTTTAAGAATGTGTCTTGCAACGCAGGGGATTTGCTCCATGGTGGGGAGACTAAGAGCCTACATGCCGTGGAGCAACAGAGCCCGGGCATGGCAGCTAGAGAGTTCATTCATGCGCTGCAACCAAAGATGCCGCATGCCACAACTGAGACCCAACGCAGCCAACTGAAATTTTTTTTATAATTTATCTGAGAGCTAGTGAGAACAAACACATTTTAGCAAAAATTTGAGTTGAACAAGGTTAGGGCAGACTAATTAGAAAAGTCGCTGTGTGCTGTACCTTGGGAATTGGATGCATTTTATGGCCAGCGAGGCACCTATGGAGGACTTGAAACAGAGAATTAAGATGTCTAGCAGCAAGTTCAAAGGATATGTTCACCAGGTTTTTCTCTCTTCTTCTCATTGAGTTTTCTCTTTGTACCCTTTTCCTTCTCTCACAGTCTTTCTAATAAACACTTTGATCTATAAATCTCCCAAATGGACTTTCTTTCTTTGTAGTATTTTATCACCAAGTAATCCTTTGACTAATTTAGCTACGCTTGGCGTACATCATTTTTTTTTTAGTAACAGCACAAAGAGTATGATTTGTTTGAAGCAAAATTTTTTTTATTATTAAAATGAACAGTTCACACCAATCAAAAGAAGTCAGTGCTCAGAATAGCTGAAAATGGATAGACATCGAGATTTGGAACATATTTTGATAACTGAACAGGAGGACAGCTTCAAGATTTGTTACTAAAGGTTGTCCAAGTTTCCCATATTTTAAAGATTTGCAGGCAAGCTCAAAACCTGTTTAAAATAAGTAACTCCTGTCTCAAATGCCGATCACACTTGTCCTATGTATAGATCGTGCTTATTTCATAAATGTCATCCAAGGGAAGGTCAGAACTACCCACCTGGTCCTTATCTTTACCAGCTGTGAAAGAAAAAGTTGTGAAAAGAGAGATTCCAAAAATTCACGTCTCTGACCATGTGAAAAAAAGGGAAAAGAAACCCAGTGTATTATATTATGTGACGGGCACTTTGACCTGCACTCACCTCCCTCATGTAATACTGATGAGAGGCAGGTGTTTTTATTACCATCTTCACAAGGCAAAACCGAGGTTCGGAGGTCAGTGGGTCCAGACTGCCAAGGTAGAACTGGGGGTAGTGCCATGTCTGCACCCAGGGTTGTCTTGGTCCCACCGCTGCACTTGCAGGTTCCCAGAGAGTGAGGATAAATCATATGGTTCCTTCTTGTCCTGCACCATCAAGAGAAAAAAGCTCTGAAATGCTGCTATGTTCGATTGGAAAGCAGGTCTCTGTGTGCTTCCTTGTCAGCAGTGACAGTCTG